TTCTTTAAATAGCTGGATATATCTGATGTTTCAAAATACAAATATACAAAATACAAATATACAAAATACAGAACACAAACCTCTGAATATTCATTTTCACTGGAATACAATCAAGCATTGTAAGTTATACAGTAGGCATGATTCACGTACAAACTCAGAAAAGGCCCTTTCATATACGAGAAGCTGTATAAAGCAAAAAAAATCCCAACCCAAAACAAGGGAAGAATATTCCACAAGGGGTGTGGGAATAAAGGAGCTGTTCTAAGGTATATAGGCAGAGTTATATGTATCATTGAATAAGAATACAAAAAAAAAAATTGAAAAATGGAATTTCATTATTATAGATTCTGAAAGAAGGGAAGACTCAGAAAACTGGAGAACGCAATGCTTAGAGCCAGCAATCTTCTGTGAAGCGTGAAACAGTGGAACAATCCATGCATGAATGCTGCTCACAAAGGTCTGGTAGTCATTCTGTCAATGGAATTCTCCAAACACTTTTTACTTTCAGAAAGATGGAATAACCATGAAGGAATTTAAAGTCACTAAAATAGGCACTAAGGCAATCCCACTTATGAAGGGGGAGTTGTGAAGATATATTCAAAATTTCAATAAAATGAGTCATCTCACCCAACTTTACAGAAATATCTTATACTTTATTTGTGCCTACAGTGTAAAATCTTCCTCTCCACCCATCGGTCCTCTACAGCTAGGGATGCAATTGCCTGCCAAGGTCTGTGTTTTCCCAAGTCACATTAGTAGCACATTTTTCCAAGAACTAGCTCAGTAAGTAACTTTTATTGTTGTCTATAACATAGCTGCATTTTTTATTTATATTCAGAGCCATCAATCCGAAACTACCTGCTGGCAGAAAAATTAAGCAACAGGCAATTAGAGCAGTAAGGGAATTAATTTATAATCACAATCAGAAAAGTTTGCTGTTAAATGTTTAACAAAAGCATGTTCCCACTCCTTCAACCAAGAAAGAAACCATCAAATTATATCACTTCCTTATGCCAGGGTGTCTGCCAGTAGGAAGCTCAGAATAAAACCCAACAATTTTAATCAAACACACCCTAGCTCAAACATATGACTTGCCCCTAGATAGTTCTTAGCTATATCCGCATAAGAAAAATTAATTTTGTTCAATACGACACATTGAAATACATGCAAAATGCTCCCCTTTCCTCCCGCCCAAAAAATTACAGCTATGATAGCTGATGACAAAGATAAGATAAAATGACTGGAAGCACAAATAGCATTGTTGCATAGCAACTGTTGAGGTACATATGGTAATGTTTATGGAACAGAATGTAGTTCATATTTAATGCAGAAATAATACTGAAACCAGCCTAGACAGCAAGACCTAGACAGCAAGACACAACTGTGCTTTGGATCCCTCTGCAGTCATCACAGAAGCCACAATTCCCGCCAGCTTTGCTAAACTGATGTTTAGGAACACCGCCACAGGCCGTAGCAATTTGCCCAGCAATGAAGACAGCCAACGTCTGGGATGTGCAAACAGCCTTGCAAAGGAAGTAGGGAGGTATTTTGCAACTGCTTTCAGAGTGCATTGCACTACTGTGCATTATTCATCAGACCCACTTCAAAATACAGAAATAGGAAGAGAAAAGAAACAGGAGAAACCCCACAGTCTAAACAAAGTGCACCATGTGTGAAAGCCACTATAGACCAGAGTTTTAATACTACCTGGGATGCAATCCACTTTATCTAGCTTTATATTAGCTCAGATCTAGGACACACACTGCAGAAGACCAAGAAACTGCAATTCATTAGACTTTGGACATAACAAATAGCACATCAGAAGAGCTTACTGCTGTCCATCAACTAATACGGGGCCATCAGAGACGCAGAGGTTTACAATGTAAGAACTAAAGGATTTCTTCAAGCTATAACAGGTATTAGAAGCAAGTTCAGTTAAGACAAAACAAACCAAAACCCACAGAAAATCCATTCAGAAGTCCAGAAATTATATAATGTGGAAAATTTTAAGTTACTTATCAAATCTGATCACGACGAGTCAATGTGAAGTGCTGAATTATCCAGAATACGTAAACTCCCTGCATCACCTTACAAGATTATAAAATATTTCAGAGGCATCCCTTGTTCATTTTCTGAAAGACCATCAAAAAGATGGTTACTACCACATAGGGATCCCAGGATTAGCGGACAGCACATAGAGAGAGATCTTAGGGCTTTTACTGTGCTCAAAAAAAAAAAAACCCCAGGAAAAAAAAGTAAATGCACAACCCTTTACAAAAGAAACCAACTGTTTTATGCCATTTGCTCCATTTTAGGTAAGCTCGGTCATCAAGAAGGGTACTGACTGAGAGCAATAGTGCCCATTTTTATCCACATTTCATTTGCGTAATTCTTCAAATGCATCCTTCCAGGTGCAACATTAGCAATGCCACCTGCAGTTCCATACCAGCTTAATTTTTGGCCCACAGTTTAAACTGGCATACTGGTTCTGTTATATGGTGCTCTTTGCAAAAGAAAAAGGAACAAGATCACCAATGCTTTTCACAAAAACATGCTGATTATAATCTGAAGTCAAATATTGGTCTGTGAACATAATGAACGAATTTCAATTTCCTACGACTGTCTCTTACTGCGGACTGACTGATGTGCAAAGATGTGTTAAGTTTTTATTGAGTCTTTTTCCATGGCTGATATAACTACAGTGTTGGGGTTTTTTTCTCCATGTGGACTTTCTGGCATCAAACAGGGTAGCAGCCTTTCTTTCACTTGGGATATCCATATAGTTTCATTCCACTCTTTAGACACCTGTTTTCACACTAGCCATAATTCACTTCAAAATCTGTTGAAACTGGTCGTGGAGCTCAAAACATATTGGCAATGCCCATTTAAACACAACAGTGTGGCTGCAGGAACATGGTGTCTGTAAGAAATCTGACTGGAATTTGGAATATTGGCATTGCACTCATCTTTACAACCAAAAAACGTCATGCAAGAAAAGCACATTAAAGTTTATTTTTGATTGTACTGCCAATGCCAGCTTTAACACAACAGCAACACATTTTAGCCATTTAGCATTTAGGCGAGTTTCATGAAAGTCACTGACTGCATGCTATGCTTGCTAATCTCAAGCAGAAACAATTTTGACATTATTTCAGTGCTTCATTCCAAACATTTCGCATTGCACTAACTACCCTTTGCTCTCGATTAATATAATAACTTCTACTCAATAGATCCACAGTCCTTGAATAACATTTTCTAGTTGCTAAGAAATGCAAAATCTTTGATTAAATAAAAATTGGACAGCTTCTAAGTACCTAAAGGTTTTGAGACACTGGTATTACAGATGGTAAAACAGAAATAAATGGGCATCTTCTAGCTATCACATTCTAATGACTTTCATTCCAACTGATGACAAATACTCCACATTCAAGTTAAGCATCTGCACTCACTGCAGATTAAGTTACCGTCAGAGGTTTTTGAAGCAGTATTTTGTATCAAAAGGTGTCTTGGGAAGCAAAATTCCAAAGAATTTGTAGCAAACATGCAGAAGTCACTGAATGTACACTCTAAACAGATCTTCACACCTGAAATTTCTCTCTTTTGTCAAGCATTCTAAGGTTGGGACATAAAGAAATGAAAAAGGATGAGGTACTACTAAAATGCTTCCAACATTCTTGAAAACTTGCTCCCTATCTCTTTCCACAATCGTAATGAATTATAAAACCGAGTATTTTTAAAGTGTTGCAAGTCACACACATGAAAATACACTTTTTTTAAAGTGAAAAAACAGTAACACAATTACATTAGTTTCAGAGAAAGAGATAACAACTGAAAAGTGCCTGAGTTTTGGTGTAAGAGCTTGTATTTCTAAACACAGCTGAGACAGCCAAGCTACTTGTACCTTAATATCTCAATCCTTAGCCATTAAATCTTTAAAATAGATTTAAAAATTTATTTAATCTATTTAAAAAGGAGGTGGTCAAATTTACTAAGTATTCTAACTCTGCCCTATGAGTTACACTGCTCCTTTCCTCATTTATTTGATAAAGCATCACACTGCCATCCCAGCAATTACTAGCCAGCCTGTGAACATCAAAACACCAGAAGCTGGTCATGCTGTAGTTTTCTGCCCCACAGAAGGCAGAGGTATCAAAAAATATTACTATTACTTGTCTTCTGGGGACACCCAAACCTAAGTGCCTGAAACTGAGATACCTTCTGCAGACAATGAGATATGCTCCGTAGACCCTTTCCTTCTCTCTCCAACATCCAGATCATGACCATGTAATTTCAGCAGAACACCCGACAGCACAGGGGAGTTATAGCAAGGCAGTTTGCTGAACTTACTGTAGAGCGTAACACTACCTTAAGTCTAACATGCAGTTTATGATCTTGATTATCCTAATCACTCATACAGCTACTGAGCTGAACTTAAGGCAGGTCAAACAGCTGAAATCCAGTGAGAAAAATGATAACCTTACTGCTGCACTGTTAGGTATTTTGACCATATTAGGCTTTAAGACACATAAACCACATATATACTTCAAGAAAACTTGGTGTTTATTGCTAAAATGGATCTGTTTAACTGGACAGAGGAAGAATTAGCATTCTTATAAAACTATATTCACAGCAGAGAGCAATTCAAGGAGCAAAAAAAAAAAAAATAGTTGATCCCAAAAGTACATGGGAACACAACAACATTTTTTCCAGTGAAAACCCTAAAGGGGAATACACAATGTACTACACTCCACACTCTCTGTGTTCTCTTCAGCAGACCCACAACGGAAACATACATGATAACTCTGCGTGGAAAACTTGAACTACTTGCTCAATCATGTGAAGAGCCAGACACAAAAAAAAGGTACAACAGGTGTTATGTATGCAGGTAACAACAAAACAGAGCCAAAACCTGACTTCTGAGTCTTCTGGCCTTCACAGCACTCAGTTTTTTGAAATCATGTATACTGGAATTGTAACAAATAACTTTAATTCTAACTTACCTCCTGAACTTTCTGTGAACACTGTTAAGGTCTGTCCTCCCACACTTTGCAGAAGAAATGGATGTTCCCTTGGCGCACTGACTGAAGCGGGTTTTCCTCCAATATCATTGATGTTTGCAAGCTCTTCATTCAAAGAAAACGACACCTAACAGTCACAATTACCACAGCAAATAGATCCAGTTACACAGCTTTACGAGTTATGGGGAAATTAAACCAACAAGAAAACACAAGTAGTATAGCACATTTCCATTACAAAAACATAGAGTGGGATAAGAGCCCTAGTATATTGATCTCTTGTTGAAATACAGAATTCAAAGCTTTCCTGTACTTCATAGAATTCTCTCATCTTTTAAAAAAATCTAAATTACTTCCTCCTGAAGTCAGAGGACAATTTGATTTTACTTATTAAAATGTAAGGCATAATAAGTTTTCAGACATTGTTCAGTATGAGTGCTTTAAAATGTTTCACCCAGCCAGCTGAGTTCCAGAAAAAGTTCTAAGGCACCATGACAAGTGTTATTAGCCCAGGGACCCTGGAATTGCATGCAGTCCAGGAGAGGGTCAAATACGGCTCCCTTGCTATGCTTACATTGTATGCCCAGTAGAACTCTCTCCACTTATTCTAAAAGGAGTTTGGCCAGGTTATGGAATGTCAAATACAGCTTGCTTCCCTGTCATTTTTTTGTCCACAGCTTTTTCTGTCTATAAGACAGAATGTTTTCTGAAATTGCAACCCTCCATCTCCAACTTCTTTTGCTGTATCACCATCCTCCTTAGTTCTCAGATAGCCTTTTGCACTAATACATCTCAAAATGTTTAGAGAGAAGGTTGCTACTACAATTGCTGCTTACAGATGGGTAAACAAACTTAGCGAACAAAGGGACCTGATGGAAGTACCACAGGAAATCTATGGGCAGAACTATGAACAGCATTCTCTCCTCCTGATTCTGTGGTACAACACTTCATTACAGGTGTAACAAAAACCATGCGACATTAGAAACCAGCATGTTCTAAAAAATTTGTAGAATTCGAACTACAACATATTCACAGCCTTTGTATTTAGTAATTACTTACTTCTGTTCTTCCTTGATTTCTGCAAAAGAAAATACATAAAGTTTTAGTTTCCATAATATAATTCCACAAGTTTAGCTTCCCTGACAGAAAAGCAAATTTAAATTCTAGCTGTTAAACACCTTCACTCCTGAGCTGCTCAACTTTTTTTGTTATGCTGATGCCCGAGAATAAATGGGAAAAGTCAGCAGGTGAGAACAGAAGCAGCAATAGCAGCAAAAGTTAAAAACCATTCTCCAGTTAGTGTGCATACTTCTTGGGTTTAAGAAATCAAACATCATGTAATGGGATACAGCCACTCCCCAGTATAATTTCAGATAATTTATATTCATAATCACTATACAGGAAAGTACCATTCAGGTACCAGAAAAATATGCACAGTGTTTGCAAGAAACAGGATTATGTATTGTAAGAGGTGCAACATAATCTATTTTACTGCAGGTAACTTCTTTAGGAATTGCAACCAATAAAGGTACAGTAAAGGCTTACTTGCTAATCCTTAGTTTTCCCACTTCACCTCTTCCTGAAGCTTTATTCCACTGCTGTGACAAGTATTTGGGGACCTAAGAAAAGAAGATAGATTTCAAAAAAAAGAAGATTTTAAAATTGTATATAAATTGTGTATGGGTACATAAATGCTTTTACTCTGACCATTTCAGAATACAGTATGAGCTAAATATGGTAGACAATATAAAATCATAGAATAGTTTGGGTTGGAAGGGACCTTTAGGGGTCATCTAGTCCAAACCCCCTGCAGTGAGCGGGGATATCTTCAGCTAGATCCAGTTGCTCAGAACTCGGTCTAAACTGACCTTGAACTTTTCCAGGGATGGGGCTTCTACTACCTCTCTGGGCAGCCTGTTCTAGTGTCTCACCACCCTCACTGTAAAAAATGTCTTCCTTATATCTAGTCTAAATCTATCCTCTTTTAGTTTAAAACCATTATTCCTTGTGCTATCACAACAGGCCCTGCTAAAAAGTCTGTCCCCATCTTTCTTATAAGCTCCCTTTAGGTATTGAAAGGCCACTATAAGGCCCCTCCGGAGCCTTCTCTTCTCCAGGCTCAACAACCCCAACTCCCTCAGTCTGTCCTCACAGGGAAGGTGTTCCAGCACCCTGATCATTTTTGTGGTCTCCTCTGAACCCGCTCCAACAGGTCCATGCTTTTCTTGTGCTGGCGGCCCCAGAGCTGGATGCAGCACTGCAGGCAGGGGCTCACCAGAGTAGAGTAGAGGGGGAGAATCACCTCCCTCAACCTGCTGGCCACACTGCTTTTTATACAGCCAAGGATGCAACTGGCTTTCTGGGCTGCAAGTGTACATTGCCAGCTCATGTCCAATTTTTTGTCCACAGTACCCCCAAGTCCTTCTCACCAGGGCTGCTCTCAACCCCTTCATCCCCCAGCCCATAGCCCCTAGGGGTTGCCCCAGCCCAGGTGCAGGATCTTGCCCTTGGCCTTGCTAAACCTCATGATGTTCACATGGGCCCACTTCTCGAGCTGTTATGTATATATTCTGCAAGGGAGAGCAATGAGAATAATGTAGCACAAAACTAAGGCCAGTGTAGAGTCACAAATTTCCCAAATGAGGGGAAAAAAATACTCTTAGAATACCTTGAATCTCAAATAATATTATCCAATCATGAAAGGCAAAAAAAGATCAGCACATTATTCTTAATGTAAGGAATCTCAATAATTTTATCAGGTAAAACTATACTTTTAATTATTCATTAGAAATTATTATCTCTCTGGGGAAAAAAATCCAACTAATCAACCACAATGATGAGAAGTTAGGCAATTACAACTCAGAGACCAAAAGGTGCTGTGAAGGGAAGGCTCAGAGCTTGGGAACCTCAGACACATTAAGCAGCAAACCACAGCCCTACTCCCACCAGACGTCCACTTCTCCAACAGCAGAGCTACCCTAGGCAAATTGGCCTCCCATCGTGCATTCCCACCCCTCTACTGTACTGGGAAAAGTCCTTGTGCAACTGGTCAGTATATAGAAAGATCAGACTGATCTGGCTGGGAGGTGTGGGGGACTTCTGTGTTTTAGCTGTGCTGACTTTGTATTTAGCGGGTGGAACAACTAAACCAGCTCTCAACCTGTTTCCCTGAACGGCTGCAAAAGCAGAGGTCAATGCAGGGACAGGAACAAGCAGCCCTGCTTAACCTGATACATCCAAGGAATAAAAGCTGCTCCAGTGATGCTGACTCACCTACACACAAATTCCTTTATTTACAAAGGTTTTCATGTCTGCAGCATCAGGTGTCCTGGGCTCATGATGGACAGACAGTAAAGGCGCCTATGTAACCAACCACAAGGTGGAAGCTGGCTTCCCAAGCAGATCTCTTTTCCCATCAATGTAGTGTTAGCTGAAATCACAGCCTGCCTCTCCACACTAGCCAAAAAAGTACCAACTAACTACTGCCAGGTAAACCAGACCCCAACAGCTGGCACTTCCACGGCCAGCCTCAATGCCTTGCTGCTCCTGCTGTGCTGCACACTCACCGTCTTCAGACTCCCAGATGTGATGATACACACAAGCCTGTGTGCAGCAGCAACAGCACTTCTGTTTTCTGGAGATAGTAATGCCAAGAGAACGTGTCCGTGCTCAGCAGAGTTACCCCAGCTCTCCTTAAAGGCCAGGCAAGCTCAAAGATGTCAACATTTATTCTGTGAAACCAAAAGGTTAACTGTTTGGTTTGATATATGGTGCTATCGCTGATGAACACCTATAAATTTGAGCACTTGTAGGAGTGCACAGTTCCCCCAGACTTCAAAAGGTGATCTGCGCTGGTGGCTGCCACTGCCCTGCCACAGAGAGGAGCTCCCAGTTCAGCCCATACGTCCGTGCATACAGCCCTGGTGAGGCACTTCAAGCTTCTCAGTTGAGCCCCAGAGGAACAAGGAACGTCTCTACCTTCTCTACTCCCCTGCACGGCACCAGTTCTACCTTTCCTTGCAAGAAGCCAGCTCAATGAGTTATAAGCGCAGAGTGCAATGTTTTGCAGATCACAAAGATCTACAGATCACAGGTTTTTTTCCCCACCATTCAGCAACTACGACTGTCTTTTCTATTATGCCTTTTATAAAGACTGAACATGACACATTAGTACAACAAATGTGAGATTGGAGCAATTTCCCCCCCACACACAAGCTATTAAACGTAGAAGTGCTGTGGCACATCAAGAGGTGGAATACAGACTTGAGGCAACAAGGACAATCTCACATCTGACTATTTAAAACTAACTGTAGGATGTTCAAGTGATAGGGAAATTACAGATTTTTTGCAAAAGGAAATAGCTCAAAGCAGTCTAATAGAAGCTACTACTTCCTGTAAAGCCCTTTCTTTCTAACAAGGATGCAGCAGTCGCTGAGTGAACACCATCTTAAAGACCTACAGCAGTCTCAGAGTCTAGCAAAACAGCGACTTGTTAAAGGGAAAATCATTTCCTGTTCCAACACCACGTACTAAAGAAGTATTCTGATACAGGAACTTTATATCTTTTTTTCTTCATATGCTCATGACACATCGGGACAAACCTACATTCTTTAATTTTGCAGCAATGTTCTTTACTGGTACAGCAGTTTATGCTGGCTCACACAGTCCACAGCTACTGAAAACATCTGTGCCCACATAGAAAAATGGTGTGAGACACAGCCAGGGAGAAAGAGAAACGTACTAAGCTATGCCTGCGGCATTTCCTGTTTCAAGCGGCAAGGAGCCACTTTGTAGTCTGATTTTTGTCTTACATAGAATAAAACTAAGCCAAGTTTCACTGCACAGCTGAGGAGGCAAAGAGCCTGTTCCAGAAACTTGCTGACAAACAGCAACCTGCTAACTTCCCAAAGCTCAAATAAATTTACACTAACCTTGTATTTACCTGTTCTTCAAAAAAAATCCAGAAAACATCCTGGTACTGGTGCTTAGCACTTTCCTTTAGTCTCCCATCACCCCATGGAGCACTGTAGAATAGCTAGAAAATCCAGATATCCTCCAACTGCTCAGGTAAATACAATGTCAGTCTAGGTTTCCATAAACTCCTAACACTGGGTCAAAAATGCTGCAAATGCACAACAGAAAGACATGAATTGCCACAATTTGTTGATAAGTATTTTTTCCAGAGTTTTAAAAGTGGTAATTTTCTACAGTGGATTTCACACCAGATCAGATATTACTTTCTTTCTAAAGCCAAGACAAATGCTATGACATGTGCCCTAGCTGATTCAATAGAAATATCATTATGTGCTCGCACCTAATCTGTGTCTAATTTATATTGCCAGGTAATAAGGTAGACGCATATGCAGTACGAGTGGACAAGGAGTGAAGGACTCTCATGCTGTTAAAATCACTGACTTGCTATATAATATAATCAGATAGGGAATGTATTCAGATTAAGAGGCTGCAGATCAATCATACTTCTTTCAGCTGCATAGGAAAGAGTCTCAAAGAGTGCAATTAATCATCTTTCCACTGCCTACCTGCAGTTGAGGGCTAGTGAGAGAAAGAAAAAGGGTTATGAAGGACCATGATCAAAGGATTACTTCTAGCTGTACACAGATACTTCAGTCAAAACCAGACAGTACCCTCAAAACCACGTGCTAAACTCTGTAGCTACATGCTAATGGTGAAAACAATCACAGGAAAGATTAAATAAAGTTTTACACTGTAGACATCTTAATTTGCCGCTTTAACTTAAGCATAATAAAAGTTTAACTTAAGAAGAACAGTCAGTTTTCAAACTCTTAACACTCCTTGAAAAAACATACAGAAAACAACAGCGACCTGATTCTACAGAGCAGACAGAATTTTCAAAGATCTCACAGCAGAATTTTGTAAAATACCTAACCACAGAAAGACTGACTTGTAGACAGAGCACCTGCCATACTGAAAGGCTACTGAACATTTTCAAGACAAGTAGCCTTTATTCTGGGATTTGTAGGTTAAGAACACCCTTCTCTCCAAAAAAAACATACAATGTAATCACAAGAAGAAATCTGATGTACTAAGCAGCATCACTTCAAGACCTCTTCACACTGCTGTTTTCTTCTTGCTACTCACAGCACACAAATGCGCTCCAGTACACGAGGCACCCTGGAGGCAGTGTATGACACAGGGCCCCTGCTCTGCGCGTCTCTCTGCTTATTCGCAGCTTCCTATCTGCCTTTAGAACAAAAACACACCACTAGTAACAAACTATTTCCAATTTTCTGCATGAAATTAAGTTAGCTTTCTCTGTGCGGCAATCTATATGCAGTATGTACATCGGAAACAGGGTAAGACTGATGTCACGTTCTATGTTTTTGTTTTCCTTTGAACATATGAAAAACAAATTATATAAAGATATCATCTTTCTAAACATAGATCAATGCAGCAGATTAAATAAAAAAA